CATCTTCTTTCATTCTTCTTTTTCATTCTTCTTCTCATTCTTCTTTTCATTCTTCTTCTCATTCTTCTTTTCATTCTTCTTTCATTCTTCTTCTTCTTCTTTTCATTCTTCTCATTCTTTCCTTTTCATTTTCTTCTTCTTCTTCTTTTTCATTCTTCTCAAATTCTTCTTTTCATTCTTCTTTTCATTCTTCTTCTTCTTCTTTTCATTCTTCTTCTTCTTTTCATTCTTCTTTTGATTCTTCTTCTTCTTCTTTTCATTCTTCTTCTTCTCTTTTCATTCTTCTTCTTTTCATTCTTCTTTTCATTCTTCTTCTCTTCTCTTCTTCTTCTTCTTCGTCGTGCCCCGTGACTGCCCAAAATGAGTGAAGTGTGCGGTGATTCTAAGATGGACGGCACTCAATCTGCATGTCATACTGACTGGACAGTATTATTTCTCTTCCCCAGCAGACTCCAAGGGCATTTAAATTAAAAAGGTACAGTGTTCTGCTGCACTAATATAAAGGCTCTCTGAAGCCTAGAAACACTTTTACTAAGTATAAAATTCGCGAGCGAATTAAATTCGCATCGAATCGAATTTCTCCCGCAAATTCGGCGAATCAGCCGAATCGAATTTTTGAATAATTCGCTCATCTCTAGTACTGAACACCCACCAGTTTCATATGCGCATTCACCGAACCCTTCTTAATTGGAAAAATAAAATATGATTTTTAAAATTCAAAACATAGGTATATATATTTATACATAGGTGCACAAAATGAACAAAACCGTTAAGAACAAAGAACAAAACCATTAAAACATGATTTTCACACAAAAACATAATAATGAATATTTACTGCACGAATCATATGATCGGGTGTGGGTCTTCACCTCCGCCGACCCGCGAGAACCGACTCACCGAACCCCTGGGGTTCGATCGAACCCAGGTTAAGAACCACTGCTCTAGAAGGACTCCTCTTCACCCAGCAATCAGAGACGGTTTTCCTGAGCAGGGTGGGTGTGGGCTCCTGTCCCTTTAGATGAAGTGAACAGTCACTAGTGGGGGGCTAATCTGGTTTACCACCAGAGTACTCCTTCCCTATCCGCCCAGGGGGTGCCAGGTGTACTCACTCAGATCCTCTCCTGTACCACTTGAGGGGTTGGCTGCTGCCACCAGCCTATGAAGGTGGGCTGCTCTTTCCCTTGCCATACAGGTAGTCCTTGCTCAGGGGACAATGACCATCCCCGAGTTTACAGACTGCCTGCCCAGCTCCATGGTTTGCAGGTAGGTCCCCATCCCACTAGGCCTCCTGGGCAGCCTTTACCTTTTCACAGCCTCACATTTTCCTCTCATTCTCTACACCTAAACCACCACCCCACTCCTTACCCCTGCTAAGCCCCTGCACTTTCTCTGTGAGATGTACACTCCTGACTCCTGCACTCTGTGAGATGTACACTCCTGACTCCTGCACTCTGTGAGATGTACACTCCTGACCCCTGCACTCTGTGAGATGTACACTCCTGACCCCTGCACTCTGTGAGATGTACACTCCTGACCCCTGCACTCTGTGAGATGTACACTCCTCCTGACCCCTGTGTGCTCTGTGAGATGTACACTCCTGACCCCTCGCACTCTGTGAGATGTACACACTCCTGACCCCTGTGCTCTTTGTGAGATGTACACTCCTGACCCTTTGCACTTTGTGAGATGTATATTCCTGACCCCTACGCTCTGTAAGATGTACACTCCTGACCCTGCACTTTGTGAGATGTACACTCCTGACCCCTACGCTCTGTGAGATGTACACTCCTGACCCCTACGCTCTGTGAGATGTACACTCCTGACCCTTACGCTCTGTGAGATGTACACTCCTGACCCCTATGAGATGTACACTCCTGACCCCTGCGCTCTGTGAGATGTACACTCCTGACCCCTGCCCTTTGTGAGATGTACACTCCTGACCCCTATGAGATGTACACTCCTGACCCCTCGCTCTGTGAAATGTTACACTCCTGACCCCTATGAGATGTACACTCCTGACCCCTGCGCTCTGTGAGATGTACACTCCTGACCCCTACGCTCTGTTGTACACCTGACCCTGCTCTGTGAGATGTACACTCCTGACCCCTACGCTCTGTGAGATGTACACTCCTGACCCCTGCGCTCTGTGAGATGTACACTCCTGACCCTTTGCGCTTTGTGAGATGTACACTCCTGACCCCTGCGCTCTGTGAGATGTACACTCCTGACCCCTATGAGATGTACACTCCTGACCCCTGCGCTCTGTGAGATGTACACTCCTGACCCCTATGAGATGTACACTCCTGACCCCTGCGCTCTGTGAGATGTACACTCCTGACCCTTTGCACTCTGTGAGATGTACACTCCTGACCCCTACGCTCTGTGAGATGTACACTCCCTGACCCTGTGAGATGTACACTCCTGACCCTACTCTGAGATGTACACTCCTGACCCCTGCGCTCTGTAAGATGTACACTCCTGACCCCTATGAGATGTACACTCCTGACCCCTGGGGCTCTGGTACACTCCTGACCCTTTGCACTTTGTGAGATGTATATTCCTGACCCCTACGCTCTGTGAGATGTACACTCCTGCCCTTTGCACTGTGAGATGTACACTCCTGACCCCTGCACTCTGTAAGATGTACACTCCTCCCTTTGCACTCTGTGAGATGTACACTCCGGACCCCTATGAGAGATGTACACTCCTGACCCCTGCGCTCTGTACAATACTTAGTCATACCTCTGCACTCATGCTCTCTTTCCCCCTGTACTCTGTGCGATATGCCCCACTGACCCCTCACTTTGTGCCTTAAGAACATTCCCCCCACCCCCCCTCCCCCAGGAAATAAAATGATTTATGACCCTGCTGAGCTTCGGTGTTGTCTGGTGTCAGACCTTTAAGAGGGTGATGACATCACGGCACCGCAGTAAGTGGCAGGACTGGTGATTGGCTGCTCATCCCCAAGCTTTGTCCCCGGGAAGAGAATATTGTTCTTCATCCAGGAAGCCCCACCCCATGAGCGGTGCGGCGAGGAGGTGATGGAGCCCTAAATAGGCAGAGTGATGGGGTCTGTCCCCCAGAATCATTCATCGCCGTCCATCCAGCTCTCTTCTCAGAAAATAACATTTCCAGGACAGAAAAGTAATCTCTCGTACCATGTCTCCCCCCCCCCCCCCCACCTTGTACCATCTCCCCCCCCCCTCCCCCACCTTGTACCATCTCCCCCCCCCCCACCTCGTACCATCTCCCCCCCTCCCCCACCTCGTACCATCTCCCCCCCCACCTCGTACCATCTCCCCCCCTCCCCCACCTTGTACCATCTCCCCCCCCCCCTTGTACCATCTCCCCCCCCTTGTACCATCTCCCCCCCCCCCCCCTCGTACCATCTCTCCCCCCCCACCTCGTACCATCTCTCCCCCCCCACCTCGTACCATCTCCCCCCCTCCCCACCTAGTACCATTTCCCCCCCTCCCCCACCTTGTACCATCTCTCCCCCCCCACCTCGTACCATCTCCCCCCCCCCCACCTCGTACCATTTACCCCCCCCCCCACCTTGTACCATCTCTCCCCCCCCCACCTCGTACCATCTCCCCCCCCCCCACCTCGTACCATCTCCCCCCCTCCCCACCTCGTACCATCTCCCCCCCTCCCCACCTAGTACCATTTCCCCCCCACCTTGTACCATCTCTCCCCCCCCCACCTCGTACCATCTCCCCCCCCCCCACCTCGTACCATTTCCCCCCCTCCCCCACCTCGTACCATCTCTCCCCCCCCACCTCGTACCATCTCCCCCCCCCCCCTTGTACCATCCCCCCCACCTCGTACCATCTCCCCCCCCACCTCGTACCATCTCCCCCCCCCACCTCGTACCATCTCTCCCCCTCCCACCTCGTACCATTTCCCTCCCCCCCCCACCTCGTACCATCTCTCCCCCTCCCACCTCGTACCATCTCCCCCCCCCACCTCGTACCATCTCCCCCCCCCACCTCGTACCATCTCTCCCCCCCCACCTCGTACCATCTCTCCCCCCCCCACCTCGTACCATCTCCCCCCCACCTCGTACCATCTTCCCCCCCCCACCTCGTACCATATCCCCCCCCCCCCACCTCGTACCATCTCTCCCCCCCCCCCCCATCTCCCCCCCCACCTCGTACCATCTTCCCCCCCACCTCGTACCATCTTCCCCCCCCACCTTGTACCATCTTCCCCCCCCCCCCACCTCGTACCATCTCTCCCCCCCCCCACCTCGTACCATCTTCCCCACCTTGTACCATCTCCCCCCCTTACCCACCTCGTACCATCCCCCCCCCCCATCTCTCTCTCTCTTTTATTATTTCATATTAAATAAAATGCTTTTTTTTTATTAAATGAGATTTTCATTGGAAAGGAACGGCTCAGTCATTGTAGAAGGAATCTCATTGTAGAAGCCACTTGGAAATATCTCTCACATACAGCGGGAATGTATAAAAATCTATTCCAATTACCTCCTCCTTATAAACTCGCATTGTAGGAAGAAATGTGATTCAACCGGTTCTCAATATCCGAACGTTCCGCAGAACAATGGATATCCACCTATTTATAGCAGCCAAGTCCATTATCCTCAGAAAAAGTAGCAGAAACTCACCGAATATATCGGAGGAAACATCAACTAATAATACCCGAGGCTGAGAGTAAAAAAGATCGCTCTAAACATGAACCTGAGATAAAGAGACTTCCAATTTGTATCAATGAGGGAAAAAAAGATCCTTCCCAGTTCACAAAGATAAATGGTGATTTCCTGGATCAATATTCTGCAATGTCAACTCTAATGAATACTCAGAGCAATTCTAATCTTGTGTATTTACCTTCTGCACTCCTCTCCTGTACATAGGGCCCACTGTCACACCCCCCACACTCCTCTCCTGTACATAGGCCCACTGTCACACCCCCCACACTACTCTCCTGTACATAGTGCCCACTGTCACACCCCCACACTCCTCTCCTGTACATAGTGCCCACTGTCACACCCCCCACACTCCTCTCCTGTACATACCGATCCCACTGTCACACCCCCCACACTCCTCTCCTATGTACATAATGCCCACTGTCACACCCCCTACACTCCTCTCCTGTACATAGTGCCCACTGTCACACCCCCCCACACTCCTCTCCTGTACATAGTGCCCATGTCACACCCCCACACTCCTCTCCTGTACATAGTGCCCACTGTCACACCCCCACACTCCTCTCCTGTACATAGTGCCCATGTCACACCCCCACACTCCTCTCCTGTACATAGTGCCCATTGTCACACCCCCCACACTCCTCTCCTGTACATAGTGCCCACTGTCACACCCCCCCCACTCCTCTCCTGTACATAGTGCCCACTGTCACACCCCCCACACTCCTCTCCTGTACATAGTGCCCACTGTCACACCCCACACACTCCTCTCCTGCACAAGGTGTCCACTGTCACACCCTCCACACTCCTCTCCTGTACATTGTGCCCACTGTCACACCCCCCACACTCCTCTCCTGTACATAGTGCCCACTGTCACACCCCCCACACTCCTCTCCTGTACATAGTGCCCACTGTCACACCCCACACACTCCTCTCCTGTACATAGTGCCCACTGTAATACCTCCTACACTCCTCTCCTGTACATAATGCCCACTGTCACACCCCTCCACACTCCTCTCCTGTACATAGTGCCCACTGTCACACCCTCCACACTCCTCCACACTCCTCTCCTGTACATAGTGCCCACTGTCACACCCTCCACACTCCTCTCCTGTACATAGTGCCCACTGTCACACCCCCCACACTCCTCTCCTGTACATACTGATCACTGTCATACCTCCACACTCCTCTCCTGTACATACCGATCACTGTCACACCTCCACACTCCTCTCCTGTACATACTGATCACTGTCATACCACCCACCTCTCCTCTCCTGTACATACCGATCACTGTCATACCTCCACACTCCTCTCCTGTACATACCGATCACTGTCATACCCCCCACACTCCTCTCCTGTACATTCCGATCACTGTCATACCTCACTGTCACCTCCACACTCCTCTCCTGTACATACCGATCACTGTCATACCTCCACACTCCTCTCCTGTACATACCGATCACTGTCATACCTCCACACTCCTCTCCTGTACATACCGATCACTGTCATACCTCCACACTCCTCTCCTGTACATACCGATCACTGTCATACCTCCACACTCCTCTCCTGTACATACCGATCACTGTCATACCTCCACACTCCTCTCCTGTACATACCGATCACTGTCACACCCCACACTCCTCTCCTGTACATACCGATCACTGTCATACCTCCACACTCCTCTCCTGTACATACCGATCACTGTCATACCTCCACACACCTCTCCTCTCCTGTACATACCGATCATCACTGTCACACCTCCACACTCCTCTCCTGTACATAGTGATCACTGTCACACACCTCCACACTCCTCTCCATGTCCTGTACATACCGATCACTGTCATACCTCCACACTCCTCTCCTGTACATACCGATCACTGTCACACACCCCACACTCCTCTCCTGTACATACCGATCACTGTCATACCTCCACACACTCCTCTCCTGTACATACCGATCACTGTCATACCTCCACACTCCTCTCCTGTACATACCGATCACTGTCATACCTCCACACTCCTCTCCTGTACATAGTGCCCACTGTCATACCTCCACACTCCTCTCCTTCGGTTTGTCTGGCTTCTATAGGTTTATATTCTGACATTCTTCTGGATTTCTGTCATCTGCATAGTCATTCCTGGTCAGTACTGAGTCCAGAGGATCACCATTGCCGTCAGGATGAAGGCAGAAGCCATCAATGGCGCCCCCCCCCCCCAAGCCTGTCATGACAAGTTTACCTTAGGATGCCCCCGAGGCTTTCTGGGGAAAAAAAAGAAGAATTCGGCTCAGCATTGATGTGACTCATAAAACAGCCGCAAGTGCCGCTCACATTTAATTAGACGCTCGCTTGGAATCAGCAGATGTGAGCGACGAGAATCAACATCTATTTTTACTCAGATCATTTTGCAAAGCATTACCCAAGTCGCCGGCTTTCATGTCGAAGTTTAGCGGAACGCGTAGGTCAGAAGTTCCGGGAATAATTAGGGCGGGGAGTCAGCGCTCAATACGTAACAATGGCAGCCGCTTTGATCTGTTGGAAACCAGCGAAATGTGAGGGGTACACATGGGGCGGGGCAACATCCAAAATGGTGCAAAGGGGTCCCCAGCACACTTCCAATCCAGCCAGCCTATCAAATAAATAATCTGCATCAACTATTCGCATAGATGGCCAAATACATGCTGAAGCCACCATGGGGCCCCGAATAAATGCGGCCCCTGACACCCCGACTGAGTATCTCCACCAAGAAGCTGCTTCCTGGGCTCTGGAACACGAAGTCGGTGACCACCCACATGGAAGAAAAATATATTTGAAACATAGTTTAAAAATATTCTTCCCAAATATATTGACATATGTTTGAAATGTTACAATTTTGGCTGTATAAATATTTTAAAAAATATATATTTTTTAAATATTATTAATATACAGTATTTATAAAGCGCCAATAGTTGGCTCAGCGCTGTACATTACAGAGGGGGACAGAACATGTGACAGAACAATACCAATACAATGTGATACATGAGGGGATCGAGGGCCCTGATCCTGGGAGCTTACAATCTAGGAGGGAGGGGGACGGTGGCACAGGAGGAGATAGCTGTGGAGGATGGAGTGGTAGGAAGAGTGGAGGAGATCGGCAATTAGCAGGGGGTGGGGTAGGCTTCCCTGAAGAGATGGGTTTTCAGGGTGCGCCTAAAGGAGAGGAGAGTAGGTGATAATCTGATGGGTTGGGGCAGGGAGTTCCAGAGGATGGGTGACACCCTGGAGAAGTCCTGGAGGCGGGCATGGGAGGAGGAGACCAGGGAACTAGAGAGAAGGAGGTCTTGTGAGGAGCGGAGTGTGCGTGTGTGGGCGGTACTTGGATATTAGGTCGGTGATGTAGTTCGGGGCAGTATGGTGGACGGCTTTGTACGTCAGTGTTAGGATTTTGAATTTGATCTGTTGGGCAATCGGAAGCCAGTGGAGGGATTGGCAGAGGGGGGTGGAGGACACTGAGTGGAGGCCAATGGAGGGATTGGCAGAGAGGGGTGGAGGACACTGAATGGAGGCCAGTGGAGGGATTGGCAGAGAGGGGTGGAGGACACTGAGTGGAAGCCAGTGGAGGGATTGGCAGAGGGGGGTGGAGGACACTGAGTGGAGGCCAATGGAGGGATTGGCAGAGAGGGGTGGAGGACACTGAATGGAGGCCAGTGGAGGGATTGGCAGAGAGGGGTGGAGGACAGTGAATGGAGGCCAGTGGAGGGATTGTCAGAGAGGGGTGGAGGACACTGAATGGAGGCCAGTGGAGGGATTGGCAGAGAGGGGTGGAGGACAGTGAATGGAGGCCAATGGAGGGATTGGCAGAGAGGAGTGGAGGACACTGAATGGAGGCCAGTGGAGGGATTGGCAGAGAGGGGTGGAGGACAGTGAATGGAGGCCAGTGGAGGGATTGGCAGAGGAGGGTGGAGGACAGTGAATGGAGGCCAGTGGAGGGATTGGCAGAGGGGGGTGGAGGACACTGAGTGGAGGCCAGTGGAGGGATTGGCAGAGGAGGGTGGAGGACACTGAGTGGAGGCCAGTGGAGGGATTGTCAGAAGGGGGTGGAGGACACTGAATGGAGGCCAGTGGAGGGATTGGCAGAGGGGGGTGGAGGACACTGAATGGAGACCAGTGGAGGGATTGGCAGAGGGGGGTGGCAGAAGCGGAGCGGTTGGTAAGGTGGATGAGTCTGGGCGCTGTATTCAGGATGGACTGAAGCGGGGATAGCCTGTGGTGAGGGAGGCCAGTGAGGAGGGAGTTGCAGTAATTGAGTCGTGATATGATGAGGGAGTGGATGATATTCTTCAGATTTTTGTAACATTCCATTCCAAAAATGTAGATCTGTATTTTTAAAGACATACAATATATTAGGAATATTTTAAAAAAATATATTTTCCATATATTTGTAATAAAAACATATTTCAACACGCAGAATATATATATTGAATACGGCCAGTTGTAGCATTTCACATATATTTTTCTTCCATGTGAGTTTAGCTGCTGCAGCTACCCGAAGGAATGCGACAGAAACAGTTTTTGGAGTAAACAAGAAAAATCTGCTTTACTAGAGAAACACAGCAAATGTATCAGATAAGAGCCAATCATGTGACCACAGGCACTACTCACCCCAGGCACTGCTCCCCCCAGGCACTGCTAACCCCAGGCACTGCTCACCCCAGGCACTGCTCACCCCAGGCACTGCTCCCCCCAGGCACTGCTCACCCCAGGCACTGCTCCCCCCAGGCACTGCTCACCCCAGGCACTGCTCACCCCAGGCACTGCCCACCCCAGGCACTGCTCCCCCCAGGCACTGCTCCCCCCAGGCACTGCTCACCCCAGGCACTGCTCACCCCAGGCACTGCTCACCCCAGGCACTGCTCCCCCCAGGCACTGCTCCCCCACTGCTCCCCCAGGCACTGCTCCCCCCAGGCACTACTCACCCCAGGCAGTCCAGAGCCCACATGGGAATACATTATACATTGGAAGCCATAGAGTTACATAGTTACATCGTTAGATTATGTTCATCTACGTCATGTGACCTGAATGGGACCTGATTATGATACACAGTTACATCATTACATAGTTAGTCTGGCTGAAAAAAGACAAAAGTCCATCCAGTTCCACCATAACAAAAACAAGTTCTAATCCTCCACCCACAGTGGATCCAGAGGAAGGCAGATTTCCCAGCAAAGCACGATCCGATCTCCTCCTGCAGGGGAAACAATTCCTTCCTGATCCCCCGAGAGGCAATCGGATATTCCCGGGATCAATAATCGGATATTCCCGGGATCAATAATCGGATATTCCCGGGATCAATAATCGGATATTCCCTGGATCAATAATCGGATATTCCCGGGATCAATATTCGGATATTCCCGGGATCAATAATCGGATATTCCCGGGATCAATAATCGGATATTCCCGTGATCAATAATCGGATATTCCCTGGATCAATAATCGGATATTCCCGGGATCAATAATCGGATATTCCCGGGATCAATATTCGGATATTCCCGGGATCAATAATCAGATATTCCCTGGATCAATAATCAGATATTCCCTGGATCAATAATCGGATATTCCCTGGATCAATAATCGGATATTCCCGGGATCAATAATCGGATATTCCCTGGATCAATAATCAGATATTCCCGGGATCAATAATCGGATATTCCCGGGATCAATAATCGGATATTCCAGGGATCAATAATCGGATATTCCCGGGATCAATAATCGGATATTCCCGGGATCAATAATCGGATATTCCCGGGATCAATAATCGGATATTCCCGGGATCAATATTCGGATATTCCCGGGATCAATAATCGGATATTCCCCGGGATCAATAATCGGATATTCCCGTGATCAATAATCAGATATTCCCTGGATCAATAATCGGATATTCCCGGGATCAATAATCGGATATTCCCGGGATCAATATTCGGATATTCCCGGGATCAATAATCAGATATTCCCTGGATCAATAATCAGATATTCCCTGGATCAATAATCGGATATTCCCTGGATCAATAATCGGATATATCCTTCCCGGGATCAATAATCGGATATTCCCGGGATCAATAATCGGATATTCCCGGGATCAATAATCGGATATTCCAGGGATCACCTTTCCCTAGAAATGTTCTATCCAGTTATATTCTGTGTATCTGTTTCTAATGACAGTTCGTTCTGGGATCTCCGAGATGATCCCGAGGGTCCGGCGGCAATCCCGGGGTGCCATTTCATAGTCCTTATGGACCCAAAATGGTATGATCTAAAAAGCGGACACGTTCCGTGGATGGGGCCAGAGTGACTAAGATCGCTGGAATTATAGGTACCTAGGTGCCCTTTCATAGAGTAAGCGGGGCAACAGTTCCCGTAGCCGTGGTTACCAAACCCCAGACACCAAATGGATGTAACTCTGAAATTCCAAGGGGCACTACTCCCAAGCAGGATATTCCTCCCTCGGTAACCCCCCCGGCCCATGTCCCACCATAAGGACACCTCAAATGGCGCTCCCAAGATTCTTGACAAGACTTCCAATGGTGATCATAGAATTAAAAAGTGGACCGGCTTGGCAAACCATTTGAAAAAGCAGGCTAGGCATGTGTGTTTGTAAAAATGCATGTACTAGCCCAGTGATCTCCAAACTGACGGCCCTACCTTTCGATCCAACCCTTGGGGGCACTATTCCCCCCCTGACACATAATGATGGGGCACTATTCCCCCCCTGACACCAATGATGGGGCACTATTCCCCCCCTGACACCAATGATGGGGGACACTATTCCTCCCCCAATGACACCAAATGATGGGGCACTATTCCCCCCCCTGACACCAATGATGGGGCACTATTCCCCCCCTGACACCAATGATGGGGCACTATTCCCCCCCTGACCCCAACATGATGGGGCACTAATCCCCCCCTGACACCAATGATGCAGGGCACTATTCCTCCCCTCTTGACACCTATGATGGGGCACTATTCCTCCCTCTGACACCAATGCATGGGGCACTATTCCACTCCCTGATACAATGGATGGGGCACTATATCCTCCACTGGACACAATGATGGGGCACTATTCCTCCCAGGACACAAATGATGGGGCACTATTCCTCCCACTGATACACCATTTCCCCCACTGACACATTGATGGGGACATGATTGATGGGGGCATATTCTCCCACTGACACCAATGACGGGGGGCACTATTCCTCCATGACACCACTGATGGTGGCATATTCCAATGACGGGGCACTATTGCCTCCCACTGACACCAATGACGGGGCACTTATTCCCCCCCCTGACACCAATATTTCCTCCCTCTGACACCAATGACTCCCACTGACACTGTACACCAAGGATGGGGCACTATTCCTCCCCTGACACAATGTTGGGGCACTATTCTCATCCCCACTGATGATGGGGCATATTCACTCCCACGTCCACCATGATGGGGCCACTATTCCCTCTACTGGACACAATGGATGATGGGGGCATATTCCTCCCACTGACACCAATGATGGGGCACTATTCCTCACTGATACCAATGATGGGGCACTATTCCTCTCCCACTGACCCCAATGATGGGGCACTTTCCTCCTGACCACTGACACAATGATGGGGCACTATTCCTCCCACTGACACAATGAAGGGGCAGCTATTCCTCCCATGACACCATGATGGGGCACTATTCCTCCCACTGCACACCAATGATGGGGCACTATTACTCCCACTGACAAATGATGGGGCACTATTTCCCACTGCCACCAATGAGATGAGGGGCACTATTCATCCCCCACTGCACACCCAATGATGGGGGCACTATTCCTCCACTGACACCAATGATGGGGCACTATTCCTCACTGACACCAATGATGGGGGCACTATTCCACCCACTGACTCCAATGATGGGGCACTATTCCTCCACTGACACCCAGATGATGGGGCACATTTTCCTCCACTGACACCCCCATATGATGGGGCCACTATTCAACTGACACCAATGATGGAAGCAACTATTCCTCCCATGACACCAATGATGGGGCACTATTCCTCCACTGATACCAATGATGGCGGCACTATTCCTCCCACTGACACCAATGATGGGGCACATATTCTCCCACTTGACCACCACATGATGGTTGGCACTATTCCTCCCACTGACAACAATGCTGGGGTCACTATTCCTCCCACTGACCACCAATGATGGAGCACTATTCTCCCATGACACCAATGATGGGACACTATTCCTCCCATGGATCCAATGTTGGGACACTAATCCTCACACTGACCAACCAATGATGGGGCACTATTCCTCCACTGATACCGAATGAGATGGGGATACTATTCCTCCATGACACCAATGATGGGGCACTATTCCACCACTGCACCAATGATGGCGGCACTATTCTCCCAAGTGACACAATGGATGGGGGCACTATTCCTCCCACTGACACCGAATGATGGGGCACTGTTCTCCCACTGACCACCAAATGATGGGGTCACTATTCCTCCCCACTGTCACCAATGATGGGGGGCATATTTACCTCCCATTGACCCAATGATGCGGGCACTCAGTCCTCCCACTGACACCAATGCTGGGCACTATTCCTCCTACTGGACACCAATGATGGGGCACTATTCTCCACTGACACCAATGATGGGGGACATGTTTCCTCCACTGACACCAATGATGGGGCACTATCTCAGTCCCACTGACACCAATGATGGTGGCATATTCCTCCCACTGAACACATGATGGAGCACTAATTCCCTTCCACTGACACCAATGATGGGGGCACTATTATACCTCTGCCACTGACACCGAGTGATGGGGCACTATTCCTCTTGGCTCACCTGATGGGGCACTAATAAGTTCTCCCCTAAACTAAAGATGGGACATTGTTTACTCCCATTTTTACTCCCACTGGCCACGGTCCGGCCCCCCTAAAGTCTGAAGCACAGTATACTGGCCCTTTGTTTAGGAAGTTTGGTGACCCCTGGTGCTCGCCTGCTATTGGCTGTAGGAGGACAGTTCTTCTCTGACTAGAGGTGTCATAGAGCAGACCTCAGGGAAACATATTTTCACCTGAAGTCCAGACCACGGGCCTAATCTTCTCCCACCATTGGCCACCATGCTGGGATTTTTTGAGAATCAAAGCCTTTCCTTTTATTTTTTTTTCATCCACCCCCCACCCCCCACCCCCACCCCAGACTACAGGCTGCCATTAAAGCTGGTTGTAGCTCCTGTGGGTTGGATATCGATTCCCGACGATCACAAATTCTGCCGCCGCC